CCAACTCGGGCCGTCGGTCGGCGGTCTACGTCTTGGCGCCTCGGTTGCTGTCTCGGCAGTCTCCGGCTCGGCGCGCTCCAACTCGACGTTCGCTGGTTCGGTGCATGCTGCTGCTCCGGAAGGATGTGGTAAGTGAGTCGTTCGTGCTCGCCGTTGTCCCCATAGGGTATGCTCCGGAGACAGGACAGGTGCGCCGGGGTCTGGACGTCGGGAGGTGTTCGTTCCTCGGTCGCTGGATGAGCTCGCGTCAGACATGTCGCTTTGGATTCTTCGGGAAGCTTTTGGATTTTCGGGGTCGTCAAGAAAGGAGTGTCTCGTAGATCCCCACAGACGGCGCCAATTGTTTGTACATGGGAGGTGAAAACAATAATACGAGAGTTTAGGGACGATACGAAACTAGTTCCTTTATTAACGCTTAAGTTAGATCTAAAGTTACAAAAAGAATAAGTCTCGCTACGATATGTCGAGCCAAGAACGTATACGAAATAAAGGGACAAAACACGAGAGAGTCGCGGCTAGGCAACGATTCTACGAAAAAGAAGGAGAAAACGCGAGAGAGCCGCGGCTAGGCAATGATTATACGAAACATAAGGACAAAACGCGAGAGAGTCGTGGCTAGGCAGCGACTCTCTTGTTTTCTGGGTAATATCCTCTGGATCTCCCCCTTTCCCAACAGTGATACAATGTATTTATAGGGACTAGAAACCCTACAAATCTCTTCTCTCCTTTCTGCGAATTACGATTTTGCCCCTCCGAGCTTAGTGGGCTTGTTTTAAGGAAAATCTTCATTTAAGCTTGTTGGACCTTTGTTTTGTGGCCTTCTAATATATGAGGGTCATGACCCATATCCAACAAAATAGTAAGTACGTACGATGATAGATTTGATTACACAGCATGATTTGGGCAGACCAAATGATAATAACTTATATAACACGATTTAGTCATGTAGTAGTACGTAGGAATAAAAAGATCAGGAATGAGATACGAGAGAATAGGTAGAGATTCTCGTTTTATTTATGTGGAGTTCAGAAGGAAGCAACTAAAGCAATTAAAAAGTACGAAAACATAACATATAGAGCAAAACTAAACGAATCTAAAGCTCGTGCCCTTGGCGACAACATCCGCACTGATCTCCATCATCGACACCTTTCTTTACATATATGCAGTACACGCTCCGTTGCCCATTATATATATTATATTTATGTTTGAATAGTTGCAACTTAATTGGATCGTTTTCTTTTAAGTGATTTTTTATTTTTATTAATTTTTGTATCTTTTCCGTCAACATATAATTTTCCTTATATATATGCTGAATTTACTAATCATACATTTATATTTATTTTGGTAAATAGCCAAGTGGTAAAAAATATCATGATTAAAAGAACATTGACCAAATTAAGCATTACATATAATTATGTCTGTTTTGTTAAATAGCGCACAATCTGTTGATACGATGGTCTTCCCTTTGTTATAAACGACATGATATTTCCTATAAACTATATTATAAACGACATGATATTTCCTGTAAATATATATCATATGTATAAAATAACATGGTTAGTATAAAATGCCCTTTTATTCTTAAGGTTATTTTTTTGTATTTTTTTTAAAAAAGGTAAAAAGGAGTAGTCAGTAATTTACCTTATTTATCTCCCGAAGAAATTGGATCAAACAATGAGGCAAAGGAATGGAATGGTGTATGAACAAATTGAGAAACGTACAAAAATCAAAAACACCATTGACGTAATTAAGAAGGAGCTAGAAAACATCTTAGTGATCAAAAGTACGTGAAATAGGATAAAATGGCGAACGCAGAAGCAGCCATGGTGAGCAACAAGCAAATCATATTCCCAGACTATGTGAGTGGATTCCCGAAAGAATCCGATTTTAACATAACCACTAGTACCATCGATCTAAAGCTTCCGGAGGGATCCACGTCAGTTCTTGTGAAGAATCTTTACTTGTCTTGCGATCCTTACATGCGCATTTGCATGGGAAAGCCCGATCCCTTGTCTTCTTCCCTCGTTCCACCGTACACGACCGGCGTGGTATGAAAAAGGACAATACATATATAGACTTTCATACAATTTAGTCATCTCCAATGAAATTTATCAGTTTATTTTGCTATATTATTTGTGTTTATTGCATTTGTTTCGTTTAACTAATGATGGATTTGAACATTTACCTTTCTTGTATTTCGAAGAATCCGGCAAGAGATTTTAATTTGAAAAAAAAATTGTTAGAGCATTTTAGAAATATAAAACTGGTAATGTTCATGTTTTTCCATATTGTAACACTTCTAGTGAATATGGTGCTATAGAAGAAATAATGAACATTTCTTTTGAAAGTTTAATTTATTTTCTTTGTTTCTTCTCCCCCTCATGTTAAAGATAATTACAATGTGGTGTGTGTAGCCAATCGTTGGGCTTGGAGTGTCTAAAGTGATAGATTCAGGGCATCCAGATTACAAAAAGGGAGACTTACTCTGGGGACTAGTTGGATGGGAGGAATACAGTGTTATTACTTTAACTCTTCACTCACACTTCAAGATCCACCACACCGATGTTCCATTATCTTACTACACTGGACTTCTTGGTATCTCACCTCACTCTTATTTTGGTCGTTAAAGAATCCATAGCTATTTGATGCTTTATAATTAGGTTTTCATAATTATTATTCTTTCTTTTGATTTGATATAGCAATTGCCAAAAAGCATTTGTATCTTTTGGTTATTTTTTTCTTTATACGAGTCTTAGGCATGGAAAGATATAGGTGTCTTATGGTCTTGGATTAGTTATAATGTGTCATCAAAAGTTTAATTGCTTGGATGGCTAAATTTAGTAACATTTAATTGTTCAAAACTTAGGAGATGACTGGTTGTGCTAGCTTTCTTATATGTATTTGAGTTTCACAGTCAATTATTTTCTCTGGTTGTTTGTTAGCAAAGTGTTTTCGTACACTTTATAATTAAGTGCATATTTTACGTTACATGAACCATGACCTTTAATAATTGAATACGAAGGACATATGTTAACCATAAAATCGATTATCACTTGATCTGAATAGGTATGCCTGGTATGACCGCTTATGCTGGATTTTACGAAATTTGTTCACCTAAGAAGGGAGAGACCGTCTTCGTGTCAGCTGCATCTGGTGCAGTTGGTCAGCTCGTGGGACAATTTGCAAAGTTGATGGGTTGTTATGTAGTTGGCAGTGCCGGAAGTAAAGAAAAGGTACTTAAAACTCTACATTACTTGTCAAACTAAAATGCACATCAAGAAAGCGATTTTCTCATATTCTTCTATATGGAGCCTTCACTAAGGTTGATCTTCTCAAGACAAAGTTCGGGTTTGATGATGCTTTCAATTACAAGGAAGAGAAGGATATTAGTGCTGCCCTAAGGAGGTCAGTACATAAATACATCTCTAGTGTACAAACAGCTATAAAATCATACTTGGCTAATTATTAAAGAGATAACTTATGTATTAGGTGTTTTCCGGAAGGGATCGACATATATTTTGAGAACGTGGGAGGCAAAATGTTAGATGCAGTACTCATAAACATGAAGTTGCATGGTCGTGTCGCAGTATGTGGAATGATCTCACAGTATAACTTAGAGAATCCAGAAGGCGTACACAACCTACCCACCATCCTTTACAAGAGGATACAAATTCAAGGGTTTGGGGTCTGTGATTTCTACCACAAATATTCTAAGTTTTTGGATTTTGTGCTTCCTTACATCAGAGAAGGGAAGATAACATACGTTGAAGACATAGCCGAAGGACTTGAGAGTGGGCCTCCTGCTCTGTTAGGACTCTTCGAAGGCAAGAACGTGGGTAAACAACTCTTTGTGGTTGCTCGTGAGTGAGACCAGTTCAATATTTTCTAATGTTGATCTTTGAAAAGTAGTAGATACCAGTCTGACTCTATCTTTCTTAGTTTCTTTTACGGATAATTAATTCATTTCCTTAATTGATACAAGAAAGAATAGGTATTGTTTTGAGACATTAAACTGGAAATTTGAATAAATAAATCCTTGTTAAAAGGAAATTTTAACATTAAACTGGTAATGTAATTTTTCATCACGTACGTGTAAATCCGTTCTCAGCTCAATATGGTGCTCTCAGATTGGTATATGTCGTATATAGCATTTGCTTCTAAAAAAATGTTGAAGTCACATTACCATGCAGAGATAATCTTCTAAGGTTAGTTAGTCAAGAATCAAAATGTAGCTCTAAAATAATAAAATTCATCTTATCAAAGTTTGATCCCTGGAATCTCTAACATTTATTAGTTTTTAAATTATGAATAAGTAAATCAATTAAACTGGATTAGTCCAGTATCTTTTCTAACACCGATAGTTTAAAAGGGGTTAGTCAGTCAAAGTTATATAGGCCGAGAAGCCCAATAAAGTGACCGGCCGAGAAGCCCAATAGAGTTTTTTTTTTTTTTTAATTAATACATATGCTGTTTGATAGATATGGAGGGAATCATTTTATTTCCCGCGACTCAATTCAGATTTCAGAATTCAGAAGAATCGCTCGCTCTCTATCTCTCCCATTTCTTCGTTCCCAGACGTCGCGATTTCTTTGCCGGTGCTGCGATCTCGGCGTTCCACACTTTCAATGGCGAGTCCAAGAGTTGTCTCACAAGATAGAAAGTCTGATGACCTAGAAATCGTCTCCGTCGGAGCTCTCTATAGCGGCTCCTGGGATAAGAAGTACTGGAGTTCATCTAGGGTTGGGTTTTCTCCTCTCTCTCTCAGTATTCATCGCTCGATAGCTCTTGCTAAACTCTCAATTTTCTGTGCGACCTATCGAGTTCCTTAGAAATTTTGAGAAGAAATATAGAATTTGATTTGACTAAAATTACTGCGAATTTAATTCATGTTAAAAAATCTTCGATGGTGGTGATATGCCTGTGATGAAATGAATCTCGATCATTAATTTGTAGCTTGATTGTGCATTTTTCACTCCCAGGAACGATGAATTGAAACTACGGTCTCTGATTTTGAACAATTTTAATTTTAAATTAATTCCAGTGATACTGCATAGGCTAGACTAGAGAGTAGAACCAAGATCTTTAGGAAGTAGATCAAACTTGTAATTATGAGTGTTCTCAGTTTCTAAGCAACACTAGATCTCTTGTTACGACTTATGCATATGGGTGTGTGGAGAATTTCTCTTTACTTGGCTTTATTTTTCATCAGGGTAAAGATCGTTTCCCTTATCCTGTGGGCTACAAAGCTGTTCGAGCTCACAGTGGAAACACATACTATATGGAGATTGAAGAAGGCGCCAAAGGACCTTTATTTCTGGTACTGTTGCTGATTCCACAAATTATCATCAAAGGTTATGCATGCTTGTTCTACAATGCAGGTAAAAGTCTTACTCTATTGATGCAGATTAGATATTTGGATGAATCATGGACGGGGCAGACTCCGGATATTGCATGGAGAAAGTTCCAGAAGACTGGCTTCGCCCACTTAAAAATATGGCATGGAAAACGATTTACATGTAAGATGAACGGCATGGAGGTACACATCGATCTCAGTTTCTTTTTCTTTTTCCTTCTTTTGACCATCTTGCTTGTTACTTTTATGAAAATGTCTAATCTACAATAACATAGATGTTTCAAAATCAAACATGCGTCATTGCCTTTCCAAAAATGTTCTTGACATTATCTGGCTTAGCTTTTGAAGAACAATTGCAGGCCACACTTTTGTATGCTTGTGAACTTTACGCTTGTCTTTTCTCATTATACAATTCTAAGTTGAATAGTTGATACATAGGAAAAGCCACAATACTTGGCATATACCCGTCAGAGAAGTTGAGCATACGACTTTAGCTAAAATTTCTTCAAATATTTGGCTTTCCAGGCCTTCCTTAGGTGTTTTTTCACTATTACTCTCACCTGGATTTTAGTTATTCTGATCCTACCACTGTGATCTGGTTAAATTACTTACGGTCTAAGATGACTACGATTTTGTTTGCTACAGTTTTTTGGCTTCAAAAACACGTTGGTTCAGAGGTTGCTCCGGGAACTTGTGACCAAATCCCATGGAATGATAGGATCTAGCTCCAACAGTAGGGCCTCTCAAATCCGGGTCAATGATGAAACACCAGTCGTGTGTGCAAATCCAAATTTATTTTGCTATCTGGACATGCCAGTGGCTAGAAAGAAAAGAAGCAGAAAACCTGGAATGACAGACCAGAATTCAGTAGTTAACGATGGCCATAAAAAGCTAAGATTCCAAGACTCAGTATCTGGCCGTGAGATTTTAAATTCAGTTGCAGGGTCAATCTGTTCAGTGAAAGGAGAAGTAGAGATAGTTGGTCTGCAAGTAGCACCACCAGAGCAGTTGCATTCTAGTCATGCCACAAACGGAAATTTACCTCTACCATCAGAAAATGCACCATATGTAAATGCTGTCATCCATGATCAAGAAAAAGACCGGTTTCCTGAAGAGGTAATCCATAAAGAACTTCTAATATGTTTTTCTTCAAAGCTTTGCTTTTGTTATTTTAGCATAGTAGACTGGTGAAGTCTTTCTTTCCAGGAAAGTTGTTTTACCAAGATGCGTCTTAAATTTTACAGCGTCATGGGTTGCAAGAGAAGGAAAACAAAACCAATGATGATATTTTTTCGCATGAGAGCCAAAATATGATTGGTTCCAGTCTTTGTGCATCCGATACCTTGGATTCCCTGCAAGGTATTAGCCTTTTAATTTTAACTTGGTCAATACCAGGATATCATTATGTAGCAGTAAGAAGATTGTAATCATTATGGCTACATTTTAACAAGGATTCCTTTTTGTCCAGTTCTTGCAGATAACATTATAAGTTTTGCTCCAAAAAGAGATGATGAAATGAGTGACAAGCAAGAAGAAGAATTAACCTTTGCTAACATGGTAGTTGGTGAAGGGTTTTTAACTGAACCAAAAGCAGAGGATTTAGCTGACTATTCTTTGAATCTGACTTCTGATTCAGCTGATCAGGAAACTGCCCAATCAATGATGTCATTTCTACTTCCTCAAGCATTTTCATTGCTCAAGAAGGCCTCAAAGAATAATCCCCAAAACAATGGTATGTCAGAGACTGCAAACGAGCTGCCTTGATGATGCGTCAGGAACTGTTATAGTTCACACTTCACCCCTAGGAACTGCCTAAATTATAGTCTGTTTTAGATTGAAATTCGAACTAATTTTGCATACAAGCTGTAATTGAAGTATTCTCTTTATCTACAGGCCATAATTCCTCTCCAAATTTTGCAGCTGTGTCACTGTCGATAAGAAATTCCAGTGGAGATGATGAGAATATGCAAGTTGCTCCAGATTCCGATCAAGATCTTACAAGTAATTTGTCCATTGCTCCTGACAGTTTTGATGAATCTCACTTGGATATTCCCGGGAGTAGTCATATCATCTCTTCATTCAAGAAAGCCTATCCAGTAGATCCTCCCAAAATGCAAATAGCCAAGGGACAGGTTGCGGTAGTAGATGCAAATCAGTCGATTTCTGCTTTGGAGACTATTGCGATCATAAAACCTTCTTTACATGATGTTAGTACTATTATGGAAGAGAAAAATCAAGATGAATATGTGAAGAAGTCCATGTCAATACCACACTTCACCAGTTCAACTAACAGGATATTATCCCAAGAATCTGCGGAACTCTGTGCCGCAGAAGGAAAATTGTTGCCGAAAGAACACCCTGACAACAATAATCCAAGTAGCACATCTTGTTCTGTTGAAGGTAATAAATTACATCAGTCAATATCACCATTTGCCTTCATCCCCACAATGCTTTCCATAACTGTCTTTGTCTATTTTCTAATATTAGCACAAATTTAATTGCCTGCAGGTAATGGTTTTGGGCTTTGCGCAACCCCTACTGAAGTTGGTTCTGTCAAAAAAGAAAAACATAAGGTGTACATCAGGAAAAGATTCTCATCCAATCAACAGCGAAGAAACAGAAACTCATCCTCTGAAAGTAAAAATAGTTGCATAGATACTGGAGATGATGATTCCATAAGCAGAATGCCTCCTACTAAAATCCAATGTATCTCGGAGCTTAAGCCGACCTTAAGCAATGAAAGCGGCCATGTAACAGAACAATACCAGTGCTCTGAGTTGGATAACAACGCATTCACCAATGTAAAAAGCAATGAGGCGTTACGACAAGATATGAGGTTAGTTCATGCTTTCGGAAATGGAAGTATATCACCATCGTCATTTCCAGCTTCAAAAGTTGAAGATTTTCAAGCCAATATTGGTGAGACATTGGGCATCCAAGTCTCTGAACCACTTTCTACAACTTCAGAGTATAAGGAAAATACTAGCGAGAAAAGCATGTCAGTGCTGGAACTTCCAGCTAATTTGAATTTTAAGCTGAACAGAGATATAACGACCAACAGTAAGATGGAAAAAAGTGTTGAGCTGCTTGGCTGCTATTTTCATCCCATGCCTGTTTCATCAGTAATACTCAAGTCTGTTGGGAATGAAATATATATCTGCGTGTTCAGCTTTGCTACAGAGGATAGAGTTAGTACCCTGTTTATGTATAAGATATCAGCTAAAACACCAAGCAAAGGATTCCCTTCTGTCATTGGTCACACTTCTGCCAAACTCCCCATTGTGGATGACAAGTCTGGTGAAAATGTAAGTTCTATTCTTTTTCCTCGTGTCTTGTAACCTGTTTTCCTTCTCTCGCTACCTGATAGTTGTTACATTTCCTCAGAGAACACTCGAGAGATATTTACACTTTACTCCAGACGGGGAGCATCTTATATTTACTGGCAACATCAAAACACCTTATTGCAGGTTTGGACTTCTCTTTGTTATTTTATACGGTACAGGGATACAGACAAAAGATATCAGCTAAGGGATTACTCTCTTTGTTTGCAGGAAGAGGGATACTGATTGCTCGTGTTTGACTTGTACAACAGCCTGCTTTGAGGAGAATGCAGTGAGGATTGTCCAATTAAAAACTGGCCATGTTTCTCTTGTGACAAAACTTCAAGCAGTTGACAGTGTGCAGTGTGTAGTGGTGTGCGATCCGAATTATCTCATTGCAGCTGTTAAAAGTGGCAACCTTATCATCTGGGGCATGAACTCGCATTGGAGGTTCTCTCACAAGAATTTATTGCTCTTCTCACAAAATAGTTCTCATATCCTTCTTTTGTGTGGAGCAGCAGGCTGGATCATCATTATTGAGCTTTCTGTTAATATTCACTTCTCCTGAATTTGTAGAGGTCCTGTAGAAGAATTCGTTATACTTGCAAATCCTTGCATATCTTCATGCATCGTGGAATTGAAGAAGATCCCAAGATGTCCTCATCTTGTTATTGGGCATAATGGTATTGGAGAATTTACAATATGGTATTTTGCTCCCTCTCTATATTTGAATTTTTTTTCCTCTACCTATCTATTAGTTTAAATTACAGAACATTTCGTTTGTTCAAGAAAAATAAAATAAAATTGCAGAACATTTTCTGCTATGCATGCTGAGGATCAGCCAAATTTGGTTTTCCTTTTGCTTCCTTTCCCCCTATGATTGTTGCCTGCTAACTTTGTTTATTCTCGAGTTAGGGATATTTCAAAGCGAAGCCTAGTATCAAGATTTGTATCTCCCAGCAGTATGATCTTTGAGTTCATACCAACCAGCTTGTTTGCGTGGCACCCTGTACATAGTCATTCTACAATCGAGGACCACATTGACATGATTTTAGCTGCAACAAAATTATGGTTCTCAAAAGGGATAAGCAACAAAACATTGGTTCCAGCTGAAGTCAAAGACACTGCCATCTGGCTTTTAGTGTCTACCGATCTTGACTCAGATGATAAATGTGATGGTGTAGAAAGCCCAGCTACATGTTGGAGAGTGGCTCTGCTTGTAAAAGACCAAGTCATATTGGGAAGTCAACTGGATCCGAGGTATCATTACTCATCTATTTCTTTACCTGCATATTTTATTTGGTAGGATATATGCGAAGTAATGTGTATGAAATGCAACATTTCTAAACCCATGGTTAATTGGCTATGGATAACAGGATTAATGTAGCGGGCACAGTATCAGGTCATGGAGTAGCAGGCACACTTGATGGACTGGTGTATTTGTGGGACTTATCAACTGGTGCTAAGCTTGACTTTCTCCATGATTTCAAAGGTAAACATTGATTTTAAAGTCATAACTAAATCTGTTCATCACAACCATGAGAATGAACTGTTGATTGGTTGTTACATTGATATTGTCAGGTCAAAGAGTTACATGCATAAGTGCAGATGATTCCAAAAGTATATGCATAGGGAGTGAAGATGGTCAGCTTCTGATTTATTGCCTTCCTGAAAAGTAAACTCAAAATCAAGGATGGCAACACAATCTAATATCTAAAGAGAGTTTATTTTGCCATCAGGGTAGGTTAATGTTATATAAGTCAACTAAGTCTATGATCGTAAACTTTACCAGATGAATGTAAATACAAAAGATGAGGAGTTTATTATCCAGTTGAAATATGATACATGATGATAATGAATCTTTAATTCTCAGTTTCTTATGGGTATATTTTAACTCAAAAGTGGTTTTAACAAATCTTTTTTTAAAAAAAGTTCTCTCCCCCTGGTAGATTTGATTTAACTTCTTTGAATTTCTATAGCCATTTTTGCTAATTATTTCAAAACAAAATACGAATATAAATGAAATTAAATCTATATAAAAATAAATTGAAATTTAAGTATGAAACGACGTCGCTGTGGTTGTTGGTAGGGTTCTTATCGTTCTTCTCACCTTGGTCGTTTCAGTTATTGCGTGGTCGACCAAATCGAAAACCTCAAAAAAAAAAAACCAAAAGAAAAAAAGGAGAGAAAAATCGAAGAGCTTTCTACCGCTACCCGTTGCAGAGGAAGATGCCGACTCTCACAAAACTTTACTCCATGGAAGAAGCCGCTACACACAACAAGCAAGATGACTGCTGGGTCGTCATCGACGGCAAGGTCTACTCTTTTTTCTCAACTTCTTCTAATTTATTTTCAATCCCTGTTCATAAAGAGTACATGTGTTATACAAGTGTTCCTCACTTTCGGAAACATTGACTAAGCAATCTCATTAAGAATCGTGTAATTGCTGTTCATATGTAGTTAGATTGAGCTAATCTGAATCTTCTTCTTCTCGTTGATAATGGGTTGACTTCTCAATCTTGGTTTCCTAGAATAGAATCTGCTCTTTACTAAACATTGATGAACACTTACAGGTCTATGATGTAACCTCGTATATGGATGAGCATCCTGGAGGAGACGATGTGCTTCTTGCTGTCACAGGTAAACTTCTTCTTAGTTTTCCCCATCTTTGCCTTATGAATGATCTGTTGTTGTCTCTAATGTAAGTAAAATGTGATTCTGTTGTTGAAGGCAAAGATGCAACGGATGACTTTGAAGATGCAGGACACAGCAAAGATGCTAGGGAACTCATGGAGAAGTATTTTATTGGCGAGCTAGACGAATCTTCTGTACCCGAAATACCAGAGCTTAAGATCTTCAAGAAGGAACAGCCAACAGACTCTGTTCAGAAGCTTGTTGACTTGACAAAGCAATATTGGGTTGTTCCTGTCTCCATTATCACCATTTCTGTAGCGGTTAGCGTCTTGTTCTCCCGCAAGAGATAAGTAGTGTCTTTCTTACCTCCGAGATGATCTGTTATATTGAGTTACTGGGGATTCAGCTTTACAAGAGAACTCCCCATTATAGATTTTTGAATCACAGATATGATATAGATCATTATTATTATTCACTTTCATCTGATTTTTGAGTTTGAGACCATGTTTCAATACACAGATTAATGATATACGATTAATGGATGGTTTGGTTTGCTGGTATCAATCTTCTTATAAGAATTCTGCATATCGTCTCGTTTGTCCTTTACTCTTATCAGCATTGCGCCAGATAGCCTCGCAAAGTCGTCATTGTCTATAGCATACTGAATCTCTGATATTATATGTAGGATCTGTCGATTTGATTTAGAAAGACCACAAACATCTACCAAAACATAACTTCCTTGCTTGTCCTTTAGTATATGTCGACTAAGATCGCGCGCCACTGGTGGATCTATCATATATAGCCATGATAATATCTTATAGCTATGATCCGTTTCATCCCAGGCCAATTCCTGAAAGTTGGGTAGATCTATCCCTAAGTTGAAGTTGAGAAAGCCACATTTCTTTGCTTTGCATTGTACATAGATTTCCTCTCTTCGAGTCGCATTTTTCCCATCCATTCATTTGTTTCACACGTTAGCTTTTCATGGTTTTAAAGTTTCCAAGTCACACGAATGTGGCTTTTTACGTATATTACCAAAAGTGCAAAAACTATTTTTGTTCATTGACATTTGACAAGGTGTTTCCATTGTAATCATTTTCTATAATCATCTGGAAATCACTCATTAACAATTTTTCTTTGTTTTACCTTAACATTTCATTAAAAAAAAATATAGAAATATATAACCGGTTTGGTTTAGTTGCATCCGGTTTACAAAAATAATAATTAAATAGCCGATAACATAGAAATATGTTACGATGATTTCTTGAACGGTATTTGAGATATCTCAACAAGAATTCGGTTCAATGCTTGAGGTCGAGAGAAGAAGGGCGCGTGATCGGATCCTTTGAGCTGGAAAACTTGTTCCGGTGGGTTCGATTTGATCATTGCTTCTTGTAGAGCAACCGGTACAGCGTAATCCTCCATGGTTTTGATGTAGAACCGTCGGATAGAACCGTAGTTTTTATCTGACACGTGAAGCTTTTCGCTGACCGGTGCAAATGGGATCGGTCTAATGGATACCGAGGCCAATGCCAGGTCCTATCATACAAACAAAAAAAGTTCGGTTCAGTAATCAAATCGATCTGTACCGATATGAGATTGATTGGTTCGGGTTTAGTTTACCTTTGCAGGGCTCTGGTTAAAGAGGAAGTCTCTAAACAAAGATCTGTCGAAATCAACGGCTGTTGGAGGGTTCTTTTTGCCGTTGGCGTACAGAAAGATTTGTGCTTGTTGCATCAGATCATTTGACCCCAACTGAAAAAGAATTAAACAACTCAAATTAATACAGTTTTATAAGACATTTTGGTTTTGTTTATTAATAACTGAAAAAGTAAGTAACTAAGTACCTGTTGATTAAAGAGATCAAGAGTGCTCTGACCATTAGCCAACATAGCTGCAGAGATAAAGACAGCTTTGGAGATCTTAGTAGGAAACATCTCCATCGCATTGGACATACAAGCTCCTCCAAAGTCATGTCCCACCAGTATCACCTGTTTTTAACAGTTAATCTCATGATCCAACTGTTGTAACTTTCATCATTAGCACACTAATGATAACTGGATTACAATATTGATTATGAACCTTCTCGGTGGGTTTGAGGGATTCAAAGAATTGGAGTAGAGGCTTGGAGTAGTGAGCGAGGCTGGTGATGTTGTTGGTGTCAACAGAGCTCACACCTGAACCAGTCAAGTCAACAGCATCGACTTGGAAACCATGTTTCTCTAAGAGTGTTATGGTTTTGTACCAACACCAAGCCCCGAATCCACCACCATGAACCAACACGAACCGCTTTGTCTCCCAACTTTCCAACTTAGTTAGCTCCTGTTACACATATCACAACATAGATAAGATGCGATTACTCGAAGGCCTATCATTGCTTTGAGTTTACCATACAAACTATTAGCCAGCTAGTTTGTTTAAGTTGTTGTTTAATTTGTATATCAGTATCATATTTTATCGTCTAGATGCAAAGAAACAATCTTAACGTATGGTTAGGCTAATTCATTAGGTTTCTATTAGGTGAAGTGCTTGCCTTGTCAACAAGCTGGTTAGGCTTGATCATGGGATCGGTACTGGACCTCTGTCTAGAGCTAGAGCTTCTTACGAATCCCGCGGTTGACTTCTTGGGAGTCTGAGCTGCGGAAACAGGTCCTGAGCTGGTACCCGAGGGCTGAGCCGAGGGATAGACAACGGAGGTGGAGCGTCTGAAACTAGGAGGGACAACAGAGTTGCTGTTACGAGGGGTTTGGTTGAAGAGGAGATTTGTGGCTGCTAAGGTTTGCTCCTGAATTTTATGAGAGTCTTTTTCATTGCCGTGGTGGTCTTGATGATGTCTCTCTCTTATCTTCTTTGTCTTTGCTTTGATCCCGCCTTTCTTGGAAGACGAAGTGGACGATGATCCAGAGCAAGAGAGCGAAGGAAGTAGCGTCCGCCTTCTAAATGAAGGCATCAGAGACAGACGACGCACGTATTTGTATTTCCCGGAGTTACCTCCTCCTCCGCCGGAGGATTTCTTGGGACGTTGTTCTTGTTCGTGAGATATGCATGTTAACGAGTTCCCCATTTTTTTTTTGAATTCGATGCGTTAGTTTCTTCACAAAACAAAAAGAGATGTTTATAGATACTACATGTTCCCATGTTCGTGCTCGCCTTGTTGATAACAACAGTTGAGTCCTTCACGTCGTGTAAAAGGCTTCTGCATTAGAATTCGAGGTTGCAAGTACTCTATAAAAGCATTAATTATTTGACTAAATCTGACTGATATTGAGGAATATAAATGAGAATAACTGTGCTCAGAGTTGGAATGTTTGTATTTTGACAGATAATAAGAATACAATACTTTATTATAAACTAGCAGTTGTGATTTTTTATTCATATTGTGATGTTTTATCTATTTTTTAATTGATTTTCAAAACATATTATAGTTATTTTCTCTTGAATTATTATCTTTCAATATTTAAATTTGGATTAAAAGCATTTTCTTATTGATCATGTTATAAACTAATATTTCACTTTCAGTTTTATTTTTTCCCTTTAAAATTTTATATATTCAATTACATAAATGTTGTTTTTATTCTACCATAAATTTAAAATTTACTTACATTCTTAAACTTAGTAACACATTTGAAATTTTAAACTATGATCAATTTAAAATGAAAGTTGAATTATATTAATACCACTAACTAATAAAAAATGAAAGTATTTCTTATTTAACATTTCATTTATTTACATAATTTATTTTTATTTATAAAAAATTTCTACATAAATATGCACTAAATGAATGTTTTAAATTTATTTTAATATAAAAAAATGTGGCTTAGGTGGATGCTTATGTGGCATCATGAGAAGAGAGAAAAAGCTAACTTTATATATATAGATTATTAAAATGTAAACAAAATTTGGTTGCCAAGATGGAGGAGAGACAGATGTATAGTTGGGGAACATGGAGGGCACATTCTTTTGACTTTCAATGAGTACTGCAGGCGAAAGCCAAAAGAAACGTATAAATCTACTACAAGATACTATAATAAACACACCTTCCCTGAAATGTAAGGTGTCTCCCTTTTTTCCTATTAATTAATGCTAAGCTCAGCCACAGTCATCTTCTTTCACCCGTACGAGTTTCCTTCAAACGTTTAGCATCAGTCTCCAGTGGTATCAGTGTTCAATCTCCATCAGAATACAAATAGTTATATCTGCATCAGAGAGAGAAATGATGATTACAAAAAGAACAAGGGATTTTGCTTTCTTGTTCATCACAAGCTTTAGTCTGCAACTTGTCTTGTAATCTCTAGGAAAGAAGGAATAAAGATGGAAATCTTCTCTCTATGCAAGTTCAAAACTGATGACAGATATTGTTGTTTTACCTAGAAATAAGCAAAGGGGGCAAGTTAAATTCACTCTGCCGTTTTGTAATGATGAGGAGCCAGCTCAGTCAACCATAAGGGATCAATTCTTGTAAGGTTCTTGATGTACTTCTTGCTGGTTTGCATGAGCTCGTCAAATATAACGCATTCGGGTTTTGCACGGAATAAAACAGAAGTTGGGTGGATGTGGACAACCTCACCACTTTCCATAGCCCTGTCAAGTCATTAGACGACAATGGGAGTTTTGTTGTCAGCAAAAGAGCAGAGCATAATAGGCGTATTTACATGTCAAAATAATAAATGAACCACCATAGGTAACCTACCTATATGTACCGTCCAATTGTCTCAATGCTGCTTTAAGGAAAAACGATGCAGCAAGACATCTACGAAACTCAAGCATGTCATTTCCGCATGAAGACACATTAAACCCCATCTGTTCAACATGTTCACGAATTTGCCTGCAACAATCCTTTGTGTGATTATCATAAATCATCAAAAGGCATAATAATCAACTGTAACTATCTACGAAGAAGGCATGACCAACCTATATATATCACGAGCATGCTTCAAGGAACGGCTATTCACAAAGTTCTCCTTACACCATTTTTTCATAATTTTATCAATATTGTTTCCACTGCCGGCTACTTTTTTCTTTTCTAAGAACTCATCTGACTCCCGATAAACACTAAGATAAGTTAGGTGATCCCCTTCAACGCTAGCAAAGTGGTTTTTTGCAGTTCTTGCCTGCAAAACAAAGAACAAAAATGGCTACTTTATTCAACTGTTAATATAAAGGAAAATGTGAACATCTCCTGATCCTATTGTTCACTCACCTCTTCTCTCTTCTCCCGCGGATCATAAAATATGGACTCCACAGTGAGCACGGCAACAGTGATCAGCATTTCCTCAAGGCAGTTGTATTGATTGGCCAAAATTAGAGCTTTGGAGTAAATAGGTTCCAGAGGGAGCCGTGACATTTGGTAGCCAGCAGGATCCTCTAGTTTACCATCATCCGTCAAGGCACCAAGCGCATGCAACTCTGCCAATGCTTTTACAATTGCACCACTGTTTAACATCAGATGAAAATCTAGATCAACGAAGTATTTATGAATTGCTTCAGCTATGAGAGTCAAACTTCCCTAAATTTTTTTAACAAATAGCAACCAACATACCAAATCACCGATATTTTCAGTATAAGAGAATGACAGAGATATCCACCACAGAAGGAAGTACCTTGAAGGTCTATCTATAAAATCAAATCCAACTATATCATCAATTCCCAGAGCCTTCAGCTGCAAAATGATATTCGACAGATTGCATCTCTTGATCTCTGGTTTAGTTGAATCTTCCAGTTTCTCAAATTCCCTCTCCGGATAAAGACGAAAGCACTTCCCAGGAACCTCACGTCCTGCGCGTCCACTAAAGTAAAAGCCAAAAATAAACCAGAAAGCACATATAATTGGAGGTAAAACTCCTAACTTTTTCCAACCATACCTTCTCTGAAGCGTCTGTGCTTTTGATGCTGGAACAACATCAAGTGACTCCATGCCTTTCCTTGGATCATAGCTTCGTGCCTTAACAAACCCGGGGTCTATAACGTATCTAATTCCAGGAATTGTAATTGATGTCTCTGCTATATTTGTGGCCAAAATCACCTAAAATGTACAAATAAAAGAACTCACACTGGGTTATCATTGTCTCGTCAACCAAATCTCCAAATAAGCAAATGATAGCTAAACTTCTCTAACCTTACGAAAACCAGTCGGAGCTGGGGCAAAAGCTTTCATTTGCTGCTCTGATGGAAGAGCAGAAAAGATAGGGACTGGCAGTAGCTTTCGTTTGTCTTCAGGTAAATGCTGAAGTCTTTCTTGGACAAGTCTCTCAACAGATTCTATTTCATCTTGTCCAGTAAGGAAAACAAGTATGTCACCTGGCTTCTCCTCCAAATGAATCTAAGATAATTAGATAAAAAAATCAGACGCAGAATTTGTTTACAAAGTACAGAATTTCATTCCACAAATTCTAGTAGAGTTAAAAGAGATATTTAGGTAAAAATCAAAAACCTGAAATATGGTGACCAAGGCGGCATCTATATAATCTGATTCAGGATGAACAGTGTAAAGAATGTCAACCGGAAATTGTCGCCCCTGCACATGAACAGCTTTGGCACCACCAAAATACTCAGAGAAAACACGTGCATCCAAACTGGCAGACATAATGATCAGCTTCAATGGAGATAATTTTCTGCCTTGACACCCTCTTGAGACACCATTTTGCTGAGGAACATTCTCATCCCTTGTATTTGTCTGCACTTCTAATGCTAAATTACCAATCTCAGTTTTCTCCCCAGTAGGTTTTGACCTAGTCCGCTGTATTTTTTTCAGTAAGGCCAGCAAAACATCAGTATGAACAGACCTATCATGAGCTTCATCGACAATAATGACTGAATATCTAGAAAGATGTGGATCCAACAGCGCTTCTCTGCAGATATTGACAAAAAGTTTGTTATGTTTGTTAGAACAGAGATCAGCAATAGATTTTCTCAATTCATAAAACTAGGCCACAATAAAGCTCTGGTTTTGTTTACCTCAGCAACAATCCATCTGTCATGTATTTCAACCTTGTCAAATTAGAAGTAGTATCATCAAACCTAATGGAATAGCCAACCTTTTGGCCCAACTCAACCTCACATTCCTCAGCTACCCTTTTAGCAACAGTCACAGCAGCAATACGCCTCGGTTGTGTTATCCCAACCATCTTTCCCTCCCGACAGAATCCAGCATTGTATAGGAACTGAGGCAATTCTTCATAAAGAGATTTAAAAAATAAAATAACAAACATATGATCAACATCAAGTAATTTGGTCCATTCACTTCATTGTTCAAGCAAATACTAGAGACGAATTCATCAGTAAACTTACGAGTAGTTTTCCCACTACCGGTTTCACCAACAACAATCAAAATATCATTCTTTCGAACCTCCTCAATCAAACGTTTCTCCACTGGATTAAGACAAGACAAACACCAACAGAGTTAATCTCTGGCCGTGAAAAGAAAGAAAAATCACAAAATTTTGGCACAAAAGACAGAGCCAACTTGAACTAATCAGCACCTGTAGCAATAGGAAGAGACCTTCTATGTTCTGCTATCTTCTGCCTCATGCTGTGATAAGTCAAAATTTCAAATCATTATGCAAAAATCTAAACTTTTTTTCTGGGGAATCATATCAGAACACTATGGTTGATAGTAAGAAAGTAAGAGACTAACCTGAAGTGAGAAACAGTTGGAAATTTAGGGTTCGGTTTGCTGTTTTGTACAGAGCTCCTAAATTCTCTTTGCGCCATTGATGGCATTCCCAACAAAAGCTCACCGAGAGTTTTCCACAGTAGTGCGAAAAAAATTTAAGAATCGGGCAAGAAATTTAACAATAAGAAGTAATTAAGATTGAGCTCAATTTAGAAGAACAGCAACTTGAAGAGACGATGCTAATGGCCTGTGCTCGCTCGTGCGTCCTGTTTGATTCTGTGCCAGGAAACAAACAAAAACAAAATTAGGTTATTTGCTTGGTTCGATTCAGATACCGGACGGTTGAACCGGTTAAAGATGGTTTTTGCCTTTCCGAAAATGGTATTTCGCGTAATGCGATGTTTGGTTTTGTGGTTTATATATGATTTTTATGATTTGTTATTTAGGGTTTAGTTTGGGATTTTCTGTATATATATTTCTTGAATATGTTATGAATTATGATATAATCTTGATGTTAAATTAACTAAACAATATTTATAATAATTGAAACTGTGATAAATTCATTTTTCGTGGTAATTTTGTCATCAATTTACCATGATTTTTTTTTGGTTAAAATAAACCATGATATTGTCACAAGGTCCTCTTTCTTTTCAGATGTGGCAAAGTGCCAAAATTCTAGCAAAATTGTAACAATTTGTTGATTTTTTTGTTTGCCACGGATGATTGCTGGCAAAATCATAGTATTCAGTATTCACAAGTTCTTGTGCTAACATATATTGCTTATTTGAAGGTATTTTTGCCTGATACAGTTTACAAACTTATTCGAAGTTTCTTAACAGGCAATTTAATGTCTTTGTAATATTAGCTACCCTCGGCGACTGAGTCTATCTAAGTATCTATCATTGATGGAACTTTTTATTGAGTAAGGGAATACATCAAAGAGATCTCAATGCAATTTGGAGAATAATGAAAATTATATAGGAAAATTAAGTCTAACACATACATTAGGGATCTGATGACTTGAAGACCTTCTTAGAGAATAAGATAAGAGAGGACTTTTTTATTACTAAAGTTGATTTCGAAAAGTAAACATTTCCTCTACCCTCTTCAGTCTTCATTCTACTTTTCTCCCACCCACTTCTACTTTTGATGATAGAGTAACATTACTACATTTCACGAACAAGAGGAATACTCTGCTCGTTCTTGAAGAAATTATCAGGATCATACTTAGCTTTCACTTGCATCAATCTCTTTAAATTCTCCAAGAAATACTTGTACCCGTATATCTTAGCCTCATCCACGTCTGTCTCACCATTTAGATTGCTTCCAATATCGATGTCCCTGTAATTAAAGAAGGCTGCTCTCGGGTTACTTGACACGTACGGTTCTGCAACCTCGTAAAGCTCCTTCATCAAACTTAGATTAGTCTCTGTGGCGTTCTCGTCCTCCCATGTCGTATAGTATTGAACCTTGAACAAGTTTCCTTTCCGGTGAGGAAACGGTGTGGCGTTTGCCGGAATCCGGTCCATCATTCCACCGTAAGGGTTAAAGTGCAGCCACACAATATTTTTGAATTTCAACATTGTCTCCCAAATCTTTTCCAATCCTTCTTTGGGGATTGGCTCTTTGACGTAATCCGATTTACTCTTAAAGAATACTGGATCCGTAGGCCTATCTACAAGGAAGCTCTTCGGTGTACCGGCCGGCTGCATGGCCCAAAACAATATCGTGTCAAGCCAGCTCATTTCTTGACAATCTTCACGTCTTAGCCCTAACTCAGGGAAGCTCTCGTTCATTATCTCCATCAGCTCATCGGTTTCACCCAAGAACTGAGCCCAGAATACAACCGCGATGGTTCTCTCGCCGTGTTTTGTTCCATTTACGACCTGAGGCATTGCTCTCAGGAAAAGATTATCAGGGAATTTGTTAGCGACAAGCTGCCACTTGTAGAGAACATCAGTCCCTCCAGTTTCCAATGTTTTGTTAACCTTAAACACTGTCAAGATCTTTGGAACCTCGACGAGCTTGATATTCCAAGAGAGGATAACTCCAAAACTCGCAGCACCACCGCCGCGAATGGCCCAAAAGAGATCTTCTCCCATGGTTTCTCGATTCAAGAGGTTTCCGTTGACATCAACTAATTGAGCATCAATGACATGATCCACTGTGAGTCCGAATTTTCTTATCAGATTTCCGTACCCTCCACCGCTTATGTGTCCTCCAGCTCCTACTGTAGCGCAAATACCAGCCGGGAACGCTAGCGTTTGGCTAGCCTCGTTGATCTTTACATAGAGCTCTCCCAAGGTCGCGCCAGCTTGAACCCATGCTTTCTTGCTAGCCAAGTCAACCGTAATAGACCTCAGATTGTGCATATCGAGAATGACAAATGGCACAGATGACATGTAAGAAAGGCCCTCGTTGTCATGACCACCGCTTCGGATACGTATCTGGATACCATCGGACTTAGCGCAGACCACCGTGGCCTGAACATGAGATACATGTTTCGCCACTACGATGGCTAGTAGTTTTTTGTGGTCAGGGCTCGGGAATCTCTTGTTTTTCGTGTATGACACGTAGGAAGACAAGAAGTCGGTGGTGTTATCGACGGTGAAGATGGCATCGGTGATTGGATTCTCCGGAGTAGTCCCATTGCGAAGGCATTCAATGAAGTTTTCAGAAATTGGTTTCGTTTCTGATGCCTCTAAAACCAAAACGAAAAACACAAGACACAAAACAGAGAGTGCTGCTTTCATTTTCATTAATCTACTTGTTTTTTGTTTTTCTTTTACGTCTATCTATCAGGATTTTAATTTATAGAATGACAAATACATAGACAAAATTATTTTTAAACTAACTACTTTTTTTTGTCCATATGGGTGTACTTTGAATTATAATTACTTTTTGACTTTTCTTCAACTTTGAGGTGTTTATTTTTGAACAGACTGATCAACATGGGACAATCATTTTCATGATTAAGATCAAGAACTGAGTCATATGAATTGAACTTGTTTTACTGCTACATGTTGATTAATTAATTATTTTAGAGGGTTATTAGTTCATGAAATTTGATTGATTTAGAAATCCAAACAAAAATCATATGTTATTCAATAATTGATTTTAATATAACTATCATGATTAGTTATAAGATTTTTAAATACTAGTTTAAATCATATTTTATTTGTTTAATGATTTGTTTTTGGATTTCAAAATTATGTTTTAAATAGATTTGAAAAAAATTTGATAGTGTAAAATAGAAAAATTTAAATTCAAAGGTTAAACATGTTTATTTCAAAATCCATGTGACTGATTTTCATAATCAATACGAATTTTAAAATCCTATATAGATTTACAAATCAATGAACTTCTTAGTTTTTTTTTTTTTTTCTGTCAACAGCTTTTGACACTTCTTCATTTTTATATTGATAACTTAACTGTTAACTGAAATAATTGCGATATATTTTTTTAATTAGAAATTTCCATCGAATGAATTTCCTGTCTCTCTTCTCTTTCGATTACTGTTGAATTCAAAATTTAATAGGTTACGTTGTCGTAAAACTATTGACTTTTTTTTTTGTCTTTGGTCAGCAAGGACCGGAGAAATCTTGATACAGAGACTTTTAAAGTAAGTGTATGGTTCTATTTTTTTTTCTTTTGTTGATGTTTTTCAAATTAATTTTATATTTTTGAATTTGTGGTGCTTCTTCTCAACTGTTTTTTCAATGTTTTTAACTTATTTTATGTAGACTGAAAGTTTTATATGACTTTTGTGATGTCTTTGATCTTGACTCTCCGATTTATTTCATCTCTAAGACTTGGAATAAAGACTTCATAAAATTTAATTGTGTGACTTAAAACTCAACTTTATTCGTTTAAGACGTGAAAGAAAGCTGATTTATCCATTTCATTCCATGAAAAGCTTTTATTGAGACAATAGTAAAAACGACATAACTCACTATACACGGATAACTCAATTTACGCAAAAGGAGGAATACTCTGCTCGTTCTTGAAGAAATTCTCAGGATCATACTTGGCTTTGACTTGCATCAATCTCTTAAAATTCCCCAAGAAATACTTGTATCCATATATCTTAGCCTTATCCACGCTAGTCTCACCACTCGGATTGCTTCCAATGTCGATGTCTCTGAAATTAAAGAAGGCCTCTCTAGGGTTACTTGACACGTACGGTTCCGCGACATCGTGAAGCTCCTTCATCATACTCAGCTTAGTCTCTGTGGCCTTTGCGTCCAACCATATTGTAGAGTATTGAAGAATGAACAAGTTTCCTCTTCTGTGAGGAAACGCTGTGGCTGTAGCGGGAATCCTGTCCATCACTCCACCCAAAGGATTGAATTCGATCCAGACAAAGTTGAATTTCAACATTGTCTTCCAAAGCTTCTCTAATCCTTCTTTTGGGATTGGTTTTTTGACGTTATCCGATTTGCTCTTGAAAAATTCTCCTGGACTTGACGGTCTATCTAGAAGAATGCTCGTCCGTGTACCGACGGGGTAATCCGCCCAAAACAACGTTGTCTTAAACCAGCTCATTTCGTGGCAGTCTTCACGTCTTAGCCCTAATTCAGGAAAGCTCTGGTTCATTATTGCCATTAGCTTATCGGTTGGACCCAAGAACTGAGCAAAGAATACAACCGCGATGGTTTTCTCCCCACGTTTTGTTCCTTTTACAACCTGAGGCCAGGCTCTAATGAAAAGATCGTCAGGGAATTTAGTCGCGACAAGCTGCCACTTGTAGAGAACATCAGTGCCTCCTTGTGCCAATGTTTTGGTTACCTTAAACACTGTCAAGATATTTGGAACGTCGACGAGGTTTATTTTCCAAGAAAGTATAACTCCGAAACTAGCACCCCCACCACCGCGAATGGCCCAAAAGAGATCTTCTCCCATAGTAGCTCGATTAAAGAGCTTGCCGTTAACATCAATCAATTGAGCATCGACGACATGATCCACAGTGATTCCGAATTTTCTCATCAGATTTCCAAACCCTCCACCGCTTATGTGCCCACCAGCTCCTACCGTAGGGCAAACGCCAGCCGGGAACGCTAACGTTTGGCTTGCTTCATTGATCTTTGTGTAGAGCTCTCCCAAGGTCGCACCAGCTTGAACCCATGCTTTCTTGCTTGACACGTCAACTGTAATAGACCTGAGATTGAACATATCAAGAATAACAAATGGCATAGACGACGTGTAAGAAAGGCCTTCGTAGTCATGACCGCCGCTTCGGGTACGGAGTTGTATACCATTGGTCTTTGCGCAGATCACCGTTGCCTGAACATGAGATACATGTTTCGCCGCTACGATGGCTAGTAGTTTTGTGTAGTTAGGGCTCGAGAATCTCTTGTTTTTCGTGTATGACACGTAAGAAGACAAGAAGGTGGTGGTGTTGTCGGCGGTGAAGATAGCACCGGTGATTGGACTCTCTGGAGTAGTCCGATAGCGAAGGCATTCGACAAAACTTCCAGAAATTGGTTTGGTTACTGCTGCTTCTAAAACCGAAACCAAAAGCACAAGACACAACACAGAGAGGGCTGCTTTCATGGTTTTGTTTTTTTTAAACCCAATACGTCTTACGCCAATATATGTTTGTATTGTTTTAAATTACTAATGATTCTAAGATGGCCTAAAATTGGGGATCTGATCCGGTGGTACTGGAAGCGGCGGACAATGTGTCTTCCACTCTTGCTTTACTAGAGTGGTTGCCAGAGTGATATGCTTTAGGGTTGAAAACGTGTCTTTGTTTTTGATACGTGTTTTATTTAGTTTCTTGGGCGTTGGATAATTATATCTTGTACTCCTAGAATTAAGTTGTAGCAATTTTTTCCTAAACCGGGCAAGAAACTCAACAACAGAAGTACATTTATGATGTAGCTTGAAAAACTTCAATAATGATGTGCAACTTGAAGGGTTTAGAATAGCAACTTAAAGAAAGGATGTGCCCGTCGTAATTATTTACATATGAATTTTTTCACAAATCTTTGGTTCTTATTTCTTCAACTGCATGCAAAAACAAGAATTCCTTACAAATGGAATTATTTCAAAATATAACCCTTTGCAATTGTTATAAATGATTACGGCGACGATTCTATCAAAAACTTAATATGTGCAATTAAAATGCCTTTCGTAAAATTCTTTATTGAGTAATGAATAAATATAACACAATGACCATAATATAAATGGGACAACTAATAATGAAAACTACATACATAGGCTATAAGCCAATAACGTATGCCTACGTAATTTATTCAATTGGTCAAAGAGTAATATCAATGCAATGCACGAACAGGAGGAATGCTCTGCTCGTTCTTGAAGAAATTCTCAGGATCATACTTAGCTTTAACATCCATCAATCTCTTCAAATTACCCAAGAAATACTTGGATCCATATATCCTAGCTTCATCCACGTTTGTATTGCCACTAGGATTGCTTCCAACATCGATATCCCTGTAATTAAAGAAGGCCGCTCTCGGGTTACTTGACACATACGGTTCTGCAACCTCATGAAACTCCTTCATTTGACTCAGGCTACTCTTCGTGGCGTTTGCATCTAACCATGTCATAAAGTATTGAATCTTGAACAAGTTTCCTTTCCGGTGAGGAAATGCTGTGGCCGTTGAGGGAATCCTGTCCATCACTCCACCGTAAGGGTTGAATTGCATCCACACAAAATTGTCGAATTCCAACATTGTCTTCCAAAGCTTCTCTAATCCTTCCTTAGGGATTGGTTTTTTGACGTAATCCGATTTGCTCTTAAAGAAATCCCCTGGATTTGAGGGTCTATCTAGAAGAATGCTCGTTGGAGTACCGGCAGGGTAATCGGCCCAAAACAACGTCGTGTTAAGCCAGCTCATTTCTTGACAATCTTCACGTTTAAGCCCTAATTCAGGGAAGCTCTTGTTCATTATAGCCATAAGCTTGTCTGTTGGACCCAAGAACTGGGCATAGAATACAACCGCGATGGTTTTCTGGCCGCGTCTTGTTCCATTTGCGACCTGAGGCATTGCTCTAATGAAAAGATCTTCAGGGAGTTTGGCCGCGACAAGCTGCCACTTATAGAGAACATCAGTGCCTCCTTGTTCCAATGTTTTGTTAACCTTAAACACTGTCAGGGTCTTTGGAACCTCTACAAGATTAATTTTCCAAGATAGGATAACTCCGAAACTCCCACCTCCACCACCACGAATGGCCCAAAAGAGATCTTCTCCCATGGTAGCTCGATTTAAAAGCTTGCCGTTGACATCAATCAACTGAGCATCAATGACATGATCCACTGTGATTCCGTATTTTCTCATTAGATTTCCGTACCCTCCACCACTAATGTGCCCACCAGCTCCTACTGTAGCGCAAACGCCAGCTGGGAACGCTAACATTTTGCTAGCGTCACTGATCTTTGTGTAGAGCTCTCCCAAAGTTGCACCAGCTTGAATCCATGCTTTCTTGTTTGACACGTCAACAGTAATAGATCTGAGATTGAACATATCGAGGATGACAAATGGTACAGATGACATGTAAGAAAGACCCTCATAGTCATGACCACCGCTTCGGATACGTATCTGGATACCATTGGACTTTGCGCAGACCACCGTGGCTTGAACATGAGATACATGTTTCGCCGTTACGATGGCTAGTAGTTTTTTGTAGTTAGGGCTCGTGAACCTCTTGTTTTTCGTGTAGGACAAGTAAGAAGACAGGAAGGTGGTCGTGTTATCGGCGACGAAGATGGCATCGGTGATTGGATTCTCAGGACTAGTCCGATAGCGAAGGCATTCAATGAAGTTTTCAGAAATTGGTTTCGTTACTGATGCCTCTAAAACCGAAACCAAAAGAACAAGACACAAAACAGAAAGTGCTTCTTTCATTTTGGTGGTGTTTTATGTTTTTGATTTCGTTTGAATATAATTATGTCTTACGCTTCTATTTAGTATCTTAATTTATAGGAAAATCTTGAGAAAAATTTCATGTAAATTTTTTTGACTTTCCATATGGGTGTACTTTGAATTTATTTTTGTCAAAATGTAGGTATTTTTAATTTATTTTGTGAACATGTATAGGTCTATTTTGAACAAGCTTATGGAAAATTACAAAGTATATAACTACAGAGGAATCGCTTTCGTACGTGATTAAGATCAGGCATTGAGTTGCGTCAATTGAACTTTCTTTTTGGAATTATTTTTTGGTAGTAAAAAGTTGTATACAGATTTTAATTAGAAACGAAAGGTGAGACTTCTCTCATATTTCAAGAAACCAGTCTATTTCTTGAAATAATTTTGATTTAATTTCGTTGATTTTTTATGTCAGAACTATTATCTAGAATGCACTGAATTTTCCTTCCTCGATCTCTTTCAAGTTTTTTTTTTTGTGTGTTCGCCTTCTTTGAATTCAAATGTTAAATGTTATACGTTTTGCATTGTTGTAATAATTATCCATAATTCTGTGATGGCCGAGTTTTTATATATAACGTGCAATTGACTGCTTCTTACAGCATAACGTTGATTCTTTGTATTTTATTATAGTTTCTTTTTTAACTTGATGTTTTCAAACTAATTTAGTCTTTGTGATGCTTCAAATAAAACTTATTTATGAAACATTCGTAATACTGAAAATTCTATATGAAAATGTTATGTTTCGGTGAAGTAGGAAAATGCACAATAGAAACATAAAACTTATGCCAATAATAGTTTAAATGATTTTGGCATCCTACAAGGTATATCCCTCATATGATGATCAGAAGGCAGTGAGCTAAAAAATTTGTTCAGTTGCAGATTATTGTCAAGAGTCATGCATGGCTTATTGCTGAATGAGACATTTTAAAGTCGAATTTTATTTTTTAAATCATCAGACATTTTTATATTTTTAGAATCCGTCATATGTCTCAGACTCATTGAAAAGTCGGATTTTCTGATGAGTCTTGTAACAACTCCTCCCCGTAAAACGTAGTTTAAGATAGTTACTTAAGGACAGAACTATTGAATTCTTAGCTAGTTGCTATAAGCCCATAAACTTCTTAGTATTATATGACATGTTCGATTACATATATAGCATTGGACCAGGGCCATGGGCTAAGACTTTTAAAAATAACAAACTAGCTAGTGTTTAATATAAGCATCAAAATATATTAAAATTTTGTATTATCAACCCTTTATCTTTCTTTTTCTGTCAACTTATATTATTAGAAAAGTCCGATTAACTAAACGGAGATAACATTGTTTACATACAAATCAAAATGCAGTAAAACATGGGAATTGCACGCTAATTAATTTGTTTTGGTATTGGCACTACAAAGAATTGTATGTAAACAATGTTATTAATATACGTGTTTGTTTATGTTAATGGATGACGAACTGATTTATTTATATACGCATTTGTTAATGTTAAGGGATAAAGAATTGATCTCCCAAAAATAATTCGGGTCGGCCATGCACTGAAAGTCAAATAGCGGCTAAATGGATGGCTCTATATTTGCAACATCTATCCATGAAAACAAATAAAAACATTTTTACAAAACGAGAGTAATAAGCTTGCATGAGGAAGTTACGTACCCTACGTATACTAATCAATTTCGTTATTGAGTTATGTTTAAACATAGCAAACTACGTACATAAAGGTTATAAGCCCATAACACATGCCCACATAACATATTACACTTGATAAAAGACTAATATCATATCACTATACTACACGAACAGGAGGAATACTCTGCTCGTTCTTGAAGAAATTCTCAGGATCATACTTAGCTTTAACTTGCATCAATCTCTTTAAGTTCCCCAAAAAATACTTGTATCCGTAGATCTTAGCCTTATTTACGTTTGTCTCACCACTCGGATTGCTTCCAATATCAATGTCTCTGAAATTAAAGAACGCCTCTCTCGGATTACTTGAGACGTACGGTTCCGCTACCTCGAAAAGCTCCTTCATCATAGCCAGGCTACTCTCTGTGGCGTTTGCGTCCAACCACATCGTAGAGTACTGAATCTTGAACAAGTTTCCTTTACGGTGAGGAAACGCTGTCGCCGTCGCCGCAATACGGTCCATCACTCCACCGTAAGGGTTGAATTGCAACGAGACACTACTGTTGAATTTAAACATTGTCTTCCAAAGCTTCTCTAGTCCTTCTTTGGGGATTGGTTTTTTGACAAAATCCGATTTGCTCTTAAAGGATATTGAATTCGTAGGCCTATCTAGAAGGACACTCTTGGGTGTACCCGGCGGGAAATTGGCCCAAAATAACGCCGTGTTAAGCCAGCTCATTTCATGACAATCGTCACGTCTTAGCCCTAGCTCAGAGAAGTTCTGGTTCATTATCTCCATCAGCTTATCTTTTGGACCCAAGAACTGAGCATAGAATACAACTGCGATAGTTCTCTCGCCAGGTTTTGCTCCATTTACGGTTCGAGGCCATGCTGTTATGAAAAGACTATCAGGGAGTTTATTAGCGACAAGTTGCCACTTGTAGAGAACGTCAGTGCCTCCTTGTTCCAATGTTTTGTTAACCTTAAATACTGTCAGGATCTTTGGAACCTCGACGAGGTTTATTTTCCAAGAGAGTATAACTCCAAAACTCGAACCACCTCCACGAATCGCCCAAAAAAGATCTTCTCCCATGGTAGATCGATTCAAGAGCTTGCCGTTGACATCAATTAGTTGAGCATCAATGACATGATCTACTGTAACTCCGAATTTTCTCATCAGGTTTCCAAACCCTCCACCGCTTATGTGTCCTCCTGCTCCTACCGTAGGGCAAACACCAGCCGGGAACGTTAGGGTTTGACTAGCCTCATTGATCTTTACGTAGAGCTCTCCCAAGGTCGCACCAGCTTGAACCCATGCTTGCTTGCTAGACAAGTCAACAGAAATAGACCTCAGATTGTGCATATCCAGAATGACAAATGGCACAGACGACATGTAAGAAAGGCCCTCGTTGTCATGACCACCGCTTCGGATACGTATCTGGATACCATTAGACTTAGCGCAGACCACCGTGGCCTGAACATGAGATACATGTTTCGCCGCTACGATGGCTAGTAGTCTTTTTAAGTTAGGGCTAGAGAACCTCGTGTTTTTCGTGTATGCCACGTAAGAAGACAAGAAGGTGGTGGTGTTATCGGCGATGAAGATGGCATCGGTGATTGGATTCTCCGGACCAGTCCGATTGCCAAGACATTCGATGAAGTTTACAAAATTTGGTTTTGTTACAGGTGCTTCTAAAACCGAAACTAGAAGAACAAGACACAAAACATAAAATGCACATTTCCTTTTTGAGAAAATATTGAACTTCTTTGGAAACTTGTTGGTTAACAAAAGAAGGAAAACAAGAGCCTCTTTCATTTTTATCTTTTTGTGTAGTAGTAGTATGTCCTAAGTTTCTGTTAAGGTTTTACTTTATAGAATCAAAGTGTAGAGTGCAGATTAATTTAAGAGTGACTTCTGTTTCGTGACTTTCGTCATATAGGTTTACTTTGAGTTTTTTCGTTTGTCCACTTGTAGGTGTTTATCTTGACCAAGCTAATGGACTGTTTAACGTATATGACTGGGAATGGTTTTCATAATTTCATTATTATATAAAGCAATAAAGCATTGAGTCTTCCATCTATTGATGAAAAACAATATTATCTCACAATTGTTGATATCAACTAAATGATTAGATATTGCAAATTTCATTAGTTGAAGAGAAAGTTGAATTGACGGAAAAAAAAAAGGAGAAAGTTGAATACACGTAAGGTGAGTGAGACTTCTTTCTTCATATTTCCAACAAAACTGATATTTTATTTTAGAAAACTACTCAATAAATTTCGTTCACTTTTATGTAAAAAATATGAATGTACTAAATTTTCCTCTTGACTTCAATATCAGTGGATAACGTTAGTGTGTTGAAAACTACTAACTAATGATTTTATAAATAGCCGTAAATTTTGAAATAGACATTTTTGGTTTTCTTTTATATAATAACTACATGCAAAAGACTTTTCAAATAGCTGAAAGGTTTTGTTTTGTTTTGTTTTTTTTTTTTTTTTTTTAAGATACATATTTTATTAATAATGGGCTTCCCAAATACATAAATAGCTGAAACGTTGATTGCTTACATGTCCTTCAGTCCTTAGAGCAAGATTATTGGGGAGCTTTTAAGTTTTGCTCTTAACATGATTTACCTCTTAAAAAGGTAAGAATCTCCATTTTTTCTCTTACTTAAGAGACCATTCTTACCAAAAATCACCTTTTTCTTTTAATTAAGAGACTATTCTCACTTTTAAGACACTACCAATAATCATGGTCTAAGTATATAAATACATAAATCTAATAACGACTTTTCTCAACAGCATCAACATTATGTCAGGTTGAATATAAATACTAACCTAGATATTCTCGTAACATATAAACCACTAAAAACTGCAAGTCACGGTCAAGTGGGTAAATACATTTAAACGTCGTATGTATCTGTTTGTTACGTTTATACACGCAACGCAAGACGTGTAATTAGTTTACATTCAAAGCCAAAACATCAAGAAGAAGTCAAATCAAAGACTTGTTCTAAAACAGAAAAATATATATTATCTCACCAAAATTAATCGATGTGCTTTGTTTGAAACAGTTTTTAAGTTTATACACTGAGCAAAACTGTGACTTTTCGAGGAGCAGCGCCGGTCCAACGTTCCTATCAAGTATCAAGCATCAATCATCAACCATTAAATAACAAAGTTTACTAAGACCACCTCCAACGGGAGGTGTTTCATGAAATTATTATCATTAAACAGCCAAAAATAAATCAATAATGGTGGATTCTGCAAGGGGCGCTGCTTAACCAAACTCTCCAAAAATCGATGCTTAACACAGCTGGCATTTCTTGATTGGGTGAAAAATATATTTTGTAGAAAAGAAAAAATTATCTCCCTTTTTTCCTCTCTCTTTCTCTTTCTCTCACGTTGGCTCTTCACTCTCCTATTCAATCACGTTGCCCATTCAATCAATATTTATTAATTAATTAATGTTAAACATTTTTCTAAGGGGTACACGAATGGAGATGCTCTAAGTCTACTAAGTAAATAATATATTTTACAAAAGTCTTTAATTAACAATATAAGCTACTACTTATACTAAGTAATTATGATATCGTCTTTGTAGTCTTCCCTGGAAAGCTAGGGAAATGAACATATTTTTACGATTTTTCTTTTAATACGATTTAATTTAGTATCAAAAATAAAACCTGAATATGTAATGAAAGTCCATGATGTGTATCTGTTTGTTGTATCTATCTGGCAACCTAGTTTGGTTTGTGTTATATAAATGGTACTTCTTTTGGAGAAAACAAAGATAAAAAAACAAGTAACGCGTACGAAAGTCCATGATACTACATTTCTTTGCATTATTACCATATAGAAAAGATAAATTAAAATTTTGATTCGACCATAAATTTTTGGGTCCTAATTTAAACTAAAATATTCCCTTCTTGATATCTATATGACCTGTTGGATTACATAGCAAGGACATGGGCTAAAGCCTAATAAACTAGGTTTTTAGTCTTGTGATTTTCTTATAACGTAGTGTTTGTTAATTAATTAGTTATTAAAAAAATCTTTTAGGCCCTCAATCACTTCGCGTTGGCCATGAAGAAGTCGAAAAAGGCTTTAAGGAAGACTGTATGGTTTTACTTATGCATCAAATCCAGTACCGAAACATTTATACGAAACGAAAGTAATAAGATGTTAAACAAAGTATATAATCCATACTTTACGGGTTTCAGAAATCAATTCTCATGGTTCATGGCCATGGTTGAAAAACCATCATGTATATAAGACGTAAAAGTAAATCTGATCTATCCTAATATATATGTCGGTTTCTTGAAATTTATTATTGAGTAATGATTAATTATACCAAGACTATCATAATGAAATGGGACAATAGTGAAAACTGCATAAGCTTTAACATGTCCACATAACTTTTTTTACAGCCTTTAAAGCCTTTGCCAATCACCCACTATATAAGATCTTATCATGCAAAGAGTTAACGTTACTACATCACACGAACAGGAGGAATACTCTGCTCGTTCTTGAAGAAATTATCAGGATCATACTTGGCTTTAACATCCATCAATCTCTTTAAATTTCCCAAGAAATATTTGTATCCGTATATCTTAGCCTCATCCACGTTTGTCTCACCACTCGGATTGCTTCCTATATCGATGTCTCTATAATTAAAGAAGGCTTCTCTAGGGTTACTTGACACGTACGGTTCTGCAACCTCGTAAAGCTCCTTCATCATACTTAGATTAGTCTCTGTGGCGTTTTCTTCTAACCATGTCGTAGAGTATTGAACCTTGAACATGTTTCCTTTCCGATGAGGAAATGCTGCTGCGGTCGCCGGAATCCGGTCCATCACCCCACCGTAAGGGTTGAATTGCATCCACACAACATTGTTGAATGTAAACATTTTTTTCCAAAGCTTCTCTAACCCATCTTTTGGAATTGGTTTTTTGAGGTAATCTGATTTGCTCTTAAAGAATCCTGGATTCGTCGGCCTATCTAGAAGAACGCTCTTTGGTGTACCGGCCGGGTAATCAGCCCAAAACAATGTCGTGTTAAACCAGCTCATTTCATGACAATCTTCACGTCTTAGCTCTAGTTCAGGCAACTTCTGGTTCATGATCGCCATCAGCTTATCTCTTGAACCCAAGAACTGAGCATAGAGAACAACCGCGATGGTTCTCTCGCCGTATTTTGTTCCATTTACGACCTGAGGCCAGGCTCTCATAAAGAGATCTTCAGGTAATTTGGTAGCGACAAGCTGCCACTTGTAGAGAAGATCAGTGCCTCCTTGTTCCAATGTTTTGTTAACTCTAAATACTGTCAAGATCTTTGGAACCTCAACGAGATTGATTTTCCAAGAGAGGATAACTCCAAAACTCGCACCACCGCCACCACGTATGGCCCAAAAGAGATCTTCTCCCATGGTAGCTCGATTCAAGAGGTTGCCGTTGACATCAATTAATTGAGCATCACTAACATGATCCACCGTGATGCCAAATTTTCTAATCAGATTTCCATACCCTCCACCGCTTATGTGCCCCCCTACTCCTACCGTTGGGCAAACGCCAGCCGGGAACGCTAGTGTTTGGCTAGCCTCACTGATCTTTACATAGAGCTCCCCCAAGGTTGCACCAGTTTGAACCCATGCTTTCTTGCTCGATACGTCAACAGTAATAGATCTGAGGTTGAACATATCGAGTATGACAAATGGCACAGACGACCTGTAAGAAAGGCCTTCAAGGTCATGACCGCCACTTCGGATACGGAGTTGTATACCATTGGTCTTTGCGCAGACCACCGTGGCCTGAATATGAGATACATGTTTTGCCGCTACGATTGCAAGTAGTTTATTGAAGTTAGGGCTCGAGTACCTCTTGTTTTTCGTGTAGGACAAGTAAGAAGACAAGAAGGTGCTGGTGTTATCGGCGATAAAGATGGCGTCGGTGATTGGATTCTCCTGGCTAGTCCGATGGCGAAGGCATTCTATGAAGTTTTCAGAAATAGGTTTCGTTACTTGTGCTTTTAAAACCGAGACCAAAAGAACAAGACACAAAACAGAAACTGCTTCTTTCATTTTTTTTCTTCTTTTTGTCTTATGTAATATGTCTTACTCCGTTAGGATTTTAGTTTATAGAAATAAAAGTTTGGAGAGAAACTTAATTTCAAATCGTTGTCATCTAGGTTTACTTTGAATATGTAATCTTGAAATTAAATGTAGGTGGGCTTTGAAATTTCTCTAGTCAACGTACAAGTAGGTGTTTAGTTTGAACAAGCCAATGGAAACTACAACGTCTAATATAGAGCAATCGTTTTCTTGATTGGGATAAGGGATTGACTCGCATATGTCAAACGTCTATATTTTGACATGCATGTTTTTGGATTACTGTAGGCTATCTATATACATACTGCAAATTTCATTACTGGGATAACATTGGATAAAGAGATACTGTATATTTTATAAATGGAAACGTAAGGTGAGACTTCAATCATATTTTCAAGAAACATATCTTTTGCTGAAATCATAATTGCAAGAAACCTCTAATGATTTTAAAATGGCCGATATTTTTGAAAAGTCTTTTCTTTTTTTCCTTAGATGGTTACGTGCAATAGACTTTTCAAAGAAGTGAAACGTTGATTTTTTTTGTTTCCTCAATAACAAATGGTAATTGACATTTTGAAAACGTCTTGAATACGTTTGTTTGCAATAATATTGTTTTTGAGAGATATGATAATATAGATGTAATCTAATACAAAAGAACAAAAGCTGGAATAGCTCAGTTGGTTAGAGCGTGTGGCTGTTAACCACAAGGTCGGAGGTTCGACCCCTCCTTCTAGCGAATCATAATATTTCTCATATCATAAGTCTCATTTTGCGCCGGAATAAAACTCATTTTTTTGGCTGCGGAAGTAAGAACCTAATCTAACTTCTGCAAATGTATTCTCTGTACTCATTCAATTTTCTTGTATAAACAAGGACGTTGACGAATATCTAACAACAATTATATACATTTGCCAGTAACCACAATGTAATTTACAAACATCTCCAAGAGGCAAGAGCCACACATTGTATAATTTTGGTCCATATTGCTCAGCTCTTTAGGTGAACTGCGTCTCTCTTTCCCCAGCCGAGGCCATTAGAAGTCCCACAGCAACAGTGAACATCACCAGCATTCCAACAAGTAAAGCGTAAGTCCGCGGAGATGATCTCCTATACTCCCCAAACAGATATATCCCCCAAAAAGTAGACACCAAAGGAAGTGCCTGCTCATGATTATCAATCAAGATTCACCAAAACAGAACTAAAGATAACAACTTTCATGTGTTTAAGTGTTTTAAGTGACCTGAACAGCATCTGAGGCTGCATATCCTGCAGCTTGTCCACCCATGAACTGAAGACCGTTACCAAACCCACAAATTAATCCAGCCATAACAGCCAAACCTCTTCCGTTCCAGTCACTCAGATATTCCGTAAAGGAAGATCTTGGTGAGCCGAGCACAGGGTTGTACAGGAAACTAATGTTTAGAGCGATGGCGATCACAAAGCAAGATAGTGAGAAGTAGAAGAACGCGGTGTAGACAATCAGCTTGGGTACGCCATGTTTTAGAGTGTGCCATTGATCATTTGTTGCAAGGTTGAATAATGGTGAGAACAATGAGAAAGAAAGACCTGCAAAAATGGTTATCCCCAGACCAACAACCATGCTCTTTCCAAACACCTAAATCCAAGAGAAATGCATAGAGATTGGTTTATATTGTTTCCTCCAAACACATGATCAACACAGATCAAATGAGAAAGATCCTACTTTGATTGCTCTTGTGTTTTCAAGTGCTATAAGAAAAGCTGCTGTCCCTTCCTTAACATTCTCCATGTCTTTTTCTTCTTCTTCATCTACTATAAAACTAAACAAGTGAATGATCTTCTTAAAAACTATCAGACAATTAAGCCACACTCTATGTCAAAATTCACCTCCAAATAGTCTCTGGCACTCTTCCGGATTCACAATTTCACAGTCCCTCGTGAATTTTCCGAGTTTCTCCTCTGTATCAGCAGAACTGGAAGAGTGAACAGCAGAACCAAGACAAACAGCTACCAAGAAGCAGCCGACACCAGAGAAAAGCAAATCTGCTCGGTTCATTCTGTTATCCAAAAAGTAATTGACAGTGGTGCCTACAACAACAGTGATGCTCGCAGCTGTCACTTCTGTAACAGACAGACCAACAAAAGCTAAAGCATACTGAGTAGCAAGATTCCCAATACTCAAACCCACCCCACCGGCCATAGCAAACAACACAGAGGGCCAATTATCCTGAATCTGTAGCAGCAACAGGGGAGATAGTATACATAAACCCATCAATGCAAGAATCTCCATAAAGGTCCAGAATCCTTCAAATCCTAACCTGAGTGAGCTGAGCAAGAAAACTTGGTGCCTCGTGTGTACTTTCACCTATCCCACCAAACACAAAGGCTATAAAGATTGCAGCCAAGAAATTAGTGATGGAATAATCAAGATAAGTATGTTGTGGGAGACGACCACGCCGTTCAAGAAGAGCCATAAGAGCAGGCCAAGTGCCTAAACAGAGCAGAGAAAGCAATATACATAATATTGCTCCTCCTTTGCTCTCCACCACATATATTCCCAATCCTTGACCTATCATCATCGGCCTGTGAGTACATAGGAAACATAAATAGAATCTCTCACCATAAATTCCCAAATTTAAATCATGGGCATGCCTACGTTCTTTATCTACAGAGATAATATCAAGATCGAGAACAAATTGACTTCTATATTTCATAGCAACAAAACTACAGAAGCCAAAAGAAGATGCAGAAGAATCTAGAGTTTGACTACGAAGCTCCTAGTTAAAGATTCCTTCTTACCTCGCTACTAAACAGATCAACGATCTGTAGAAGACAAGGCCAACGAGGACCGATCGAATACTAAAATTGCAAAAGTCAAAACTATATTTTTTATTCGGACAGGGGACGAACCTATCTTATTGTTGGCTTTTAATTAATAAACAATATTTTATTCTTACCCCATTGGTTGGATTTTTGGTATAGTTTTCGATTTATATAAAGTTAGATATCACAAATGCCGTTACAAAATCACTAGCATGCCTAAGAATATTCTCATCTTTCCTTTTATGTCTTACTAGGGCTGTCAGCCCGTGCGTTGCCGTACGGGAAAACGAAAACTTAAAATAATTAACATTGTTAAATAATGTTTTCGAGTGGAAAATTGATTGTTAAATAATCTATATTATGATATATTAGATTTGTGAGACTGAGAAAACTTTCTTACAATTTTATCTTTATCTCTCAAATGTTATTTTTCAGTTGGTATCACTGCATTTTAATACTGATGATCCTAAAGAGTCAAAAGAATTCAACATTTATGAACGGCCATTTGTTACTCTTAACATGCCCCTTCTTTTGCTTTATTTAAAAAACAAAACTATCAACACAATTATGAAATTAACTTATAGCTACTGCCCTTAAAAGAATATCAAAGATTCATGCATTTTCCTTTTACAAAATCTAACAAACTTTTTGGATAGAAAACTCAACTATTTCTATCATATTACATGTTTCCAACACCAACGAATCATTAGTCCCATAAAACTAATGAGACAACTTTATAGATTCAACCAAATTCAACATAACATTATAGGAACATAAACAATGCCTAAAGAAACATCAATGAGAAAGAATATGCTTCAATGTAAGAAACAAAATTTACAATGACAAATTATTGTCAATTAGATTTGAAAGAACATATACTTGGTGTTTTGGTGAGGCATCTACATATGGCACGACTTTTCATAGGACAAAGATCAACATGAAACAACTTCTTATCTTGTATGCTTATGTTATATCAACCTTATGCTTTTATCTAAACATGAGCTATAAATTTAAGGGCGATCTTGCTGCAAATTACATTTCACAAATCCCAATATATATTAGAATCATATCCAATTGTATCTACAGATAGAATTCAACTATAAATACCAATGAATATTGTTGTATCAAAACACCAACCTATAATTAAAAATAATAAATAAATAAAACATAACAATTTGAAACAATGATTTGTACTTGTAGAAATTTAGAAGTATAATTAAACAATAAAAATTTAGTGAAGTCACTAATCAAACAATAAAACAGGGAGTAGAAATTATAAGTTTAAATGCTTATCAAAATATAAAATAAAATGAGGAAGATGAAACAAAACAAACCAGATGATGTTTGAGTGTAAATCTATGGCCATGTTACTACAGTTTATATGAGTTTTTATACTTTTTTGACGTTAAATTG